CAGTCCTTGGTGCTCTCTGAGCTTGGTGGATTTCTTGCAGACGTTCCATTACCAGACTAGGTAATAGGATCAGTGCTCAAGCTACCTTTGTTAATGAAATATCTGCAAGAAAAGCACCAAGCACCGAGATCAACCAAAGGCCCCCACAGTAGTCCTCCTCCTCTCCCTCCCTTCCTCCCTCCCTCCCCAAACCCTACTCCATGCTAACACTGATAATGTTCCCTAGTTGGGTAATGAAATGTTTGCAAGAAAACCACCAAGCTCAGAGCACACCGAGGATCCCACAGTTCTCCTCCTCCTCCTCCTCCTCTGCAAACCCTACTCCATGCTAACACTGATAATGTTCCCTAGTTGGTAATAAAATGTTTGCAAGAAAACCATCAAGCTCAGAACGCACTGAGGACCCCACAGTCATCGTCCTCCTCCTCCTCCTCCTCCTCTCTGCAAACCCTACTCCATGCTAACACTGATAATGTTCCCTAGTTGGGTAATGAAATGTTTGCAAGAAAACCACCAAGCTCAGAGCGCACTGAGGACCCCACAGTCCTCCTCCTCCTCCTCCTCCTCCTCCTCCTCCTCCTCCTTCTCTCTGCAAACCCTACTCCATGCTAACACTGATAATGTTCCCTAGTTGGGTAATGAAATGTTTGCAAGAAAACCACCAAGCTCAGAGCACACTGAGCACACCGAGGACCCCCACAGTCGTCCTCCTCCTCCTCTTCTTTCTCCTCCTCCTCCTCCTCCTCATCTCTGCAAACTTTTTTCTAGCATTGATGACATTCCCTAGTTGGGTAATGAAACGTCTACAAGAAAACCATCGAGCTCCGAAAGCATCCCTCATTTTTAGATTCTCTTATGTCAGAAAGGCTAAAATTTAATAAGTCCCCCACCCACCCCCATTCAACGTGGGTGAAGGAAATACAGATCTGGTTTATTTATGAGACTGAGAACGCCGTTTGTCTTTCTCTTTTCTTTTACACTTTGCTGCCGCAGGGAAATATTTGACTAGGCTTTGACCTGTAGCGAGATTGATTGTCGCTACCCGTTAGCTACCTGCAATTTTTTTTTTTCCTGGCTCTTTTCCATACTTCTTCCTGATTAAACATTAGCCTTCCAGAGAGAAACCATCCAGGGAATTCAAAACTTGAGGTCAGAACTCATGTTTGTGTCGAGAAAAAAAATTAAAAGAGCGCCAGGGTAGATTTCCTTTGAATTGGGACGTTTTCTGGTAGCATCTTCATTTCAATTTTGGTGACTTAAACCAGAGCTAGTGAAAGAAGTCAACTGATTTCCATTTGCTGGTACAGTAGAGGCCAAAATTGTGGAAACCTTTTTTGGGAAAAGTGTATTTTTGAGGTTTGATGGCTAATATCATCACTTTTTTTTTTGGAGTTTCAAGATAATCCTGTTCCACTGCTGGAATGGCCTGGGAATAGCCCAGATCTTAACCCTATTGAAAATCGATGGAGCTGACTAAAGAAACTTGTTAGTCAGAAGCGACCCAGCAATAAAACCCAGTTAATAGAAGCCATCATTCCATCTTGGTTTCACGTTATAATGGCTGCAGAACTCAAAGACTTCAGCTCAAAGCCGAATGGAGCACGACCGAATAACCCCCTGATCTACACCTAGAGAAGAGGCATCAGAATGGCAAGCTTTGTTAGCTGGTGCCAAATCCTCTTACCCTGGACAATTTTACCAGGAGTCGACACAAAATTTAGATGGGGCCACCCCTCCTTTTAGAGAAGGCCAATTCTCTATGTCGTGCGTGACGACATCTCACGCCATTGCAACAATTTCCCTTTGTATAAATCAAATTTCCTGAGGAGCTGCAAAAAAAATGCATTATTGCTTAACACATTGTAAGCCGCCCTGAGTTTCCAGAGAAAAGGCGGCATATAAATCGAACCAAGAAAGAAAGAAAGAAAGAGAGAGGGAGGGAGAGAGAGGGAGGGAGAGTGAGAGAGAGAGAGTGGGAGGGAGGGAGGGGGAGAGAGAGAGAGAGAGAGGGAGGGAGGGAGAGGGAGGGAGGGAGGGAGAGAGAGAGAGAGGGAGGGGAGAGAGAGAGAAAGAAAGAAAGAGAAAGAAAGGAAGGAAGAAAGAAGAAAGAAAGAAAGAAGAAAAAGAAAAAGAAAAAAGAGAGAGAAAGAAAAAAGGAAGGAAGAAAGAAAGAAGAGAAAGAGAGAAAGAAAGAAAGAGAGAGGGAGGGAGGGAGGGAGAGAGAGAGAGAGAGGGAGGGGGAGAGAGAGAGAGAAAGAAAGAAAGAGAAAAAAAGAAGAAAAAGAGAAAGAAAGAGAGAGAGAGAGAGAGAAAGAAAAAAAGAAGGAAGGAAGAAGGAAGGAAGGAAGGAAGGAAGAAAGATCCCCTCTCCATCATAACCTGGAATATAGCGGGTTGGACTGTTCCATCAAAAGACCAATTTTTTTTTTGACTATATATCACTCCCCTTGCCGTCTTACCTGTTTTCTAGCTCTGTCTCCCTAATCCTAACCAGAGGAAATGGCAGGGACCATCTGCGCATGAGGTTAAATATTTTCAGGGAGGGCTTATTTTCGGGGAAGGCTTATCTTTGGGGGAAAGCTTATTTTCGAGGAAACACGGTACAATAAAATAAATCTGGCTTGCTAAAAACCGGGGAAAATTAAGAGAGGCTCTCAAAAGGACTTTGCGAAGCACATCTGGATGGTGGGTTGGGCCCTGACTGTTGCTGGTCTCCACCGTGAGAGTTTTAATGTTTGATTTGTGCCCAGTTCTCGGAGCATCTGACCGTTGGTGCGTAATGCAGAGGCCGCGTTCCCCGTGTCTAAAAGTAATTGAACTGTGTCACAATGCTACTTATCCTATTGACAGTTCCCCCGTTAATGGGTGTCACTTAGGTTAAAGCACCTCGCTCAGAGCTCTGCTTTCTCACTTTCACCATCTAATTCCTCGGGTTGGAACCGAGGTTTGAAAGAAATCCATAATTGCGATGCATTATGAACGCCGAGGCTGGCGGCTCTCTTGGCGTTACTCAACGCTTTGGGGTGAGCGGATGCATTTTGTATTTTGGAGAGCATGTTATTCTTGCAAAACAAAGTCCAGGGCCGCAGGGGCGATTTCTAGATTCCTAGGTCTCCCGGGAAGCAAAATTTCGTAGATCTTTCTGGTTTTCTAAGAAACCTGAGGTACAAAGCCCTTGAAAATCCAAAGTGAGTTTTTGCAGCGTGGCACGTTAACCTTCTTGTTCGTTCTTCAGTTATTCTCCAAAAGATCTTTCAACATCAAAATAGGTAAAGGTAAAGGTTCCCCTTGCATATATGTGCTAGTCGTTCCCGACTCTAGGGGGCAGTGCTCATCTCCGTTTCAAAGCCGATGTGACGGAGATCTTGGAGAATCTCCTTCCCTATTGATTTATTTTTTTAAAGGTCTCTCTTTCTTTTAACGATTACGAAAAAAAAATTGATCGTGAGCGTCTTCCAGATGTCCGTAGCCATGATAGAAAGTCCTATTTTTGAATTTTAGTGCTTTATTAATTTCAAGAGGGACCCAAGGACGAACTACACATTACACTCGGGTGTCAGGAGAACCAAGATGCTTTTTAAAATAAAGGTTCCCCTTGCACATCTGTGCTAGTCGTTCCCGACTCTAGGGGGCGGTGTGCTCATCTCCGTTTCAAAGCCGAAGAGCCAGCGTTGTTCGAAGACGTCTCCGTGGTCATGTGGCCGGCATGACTCAACGCTAAAGGTGCACAGAACGCTGTTCCCTTCCCACCAAAGGTGGTCCCTATTTTTCTACTTGCGTTTTTTACGGGTTTTCGAACTGCTAGGTTGGCAGAAGCTGGGACAAGTCACGGGAGCTCACCCCGTTACGCGGCACTGGGGATTCGAACCGCTGAACTGCCAACTTTTCAATCGACAAGCTTAGCGTCTTAGCCACTGAGCCACCGCGTCTCTATAACATCAAAATAGGTAGGGTAGCTGGAGAATGTGCTGAGGAATACCGATTGAGAGTCTCATTGTAAAATCACGGTTAATCTGTCAGCCGGAAAGAGAGTCAGGAAATGCAATTGTAGGGAGCACAAAATATAACCAACAGCAGGAATATATAAGCAAGCCGCGCGCTCATAAATAATATTAAGGCCCGGATACGTCTTGAAACGTTTCACCTCACTCTGTTGGAGATGTCAAAATCCCTCTTGACTTGCAGAAGTCGAATCACGTTCTGCTTGAGCGACTTGGCTCGAATAAAATTTAGGGCAGAATTTGCTGGGGTGAAACGGAAGGCTTTTGCAGACCTTCGCAAAGCCGAGGCGATTGATTGCAAAACGCTTCACGCTTTGCAAAAAAAGAAGTTTCCTTCTGAACTTGCGGGGCGGTTAGCTGGATAATGAGAAGATGGGCGAGGGAACTGCGAGAGGTCAGACGTCCCTCAATACATCTCCGACTTAAACGGGGCATCTCTCTCTGTTCCTGCTCAAGTTTTTCTGCCTTGATTTGTTCCTAAATATTACAGTCCCGTCTGCATGAACGAACGTGGCTTATTTTCAAGAAAACAGAATTACGAAACGGTGGTTTAGGGTGTCTCGTGGAAACTCGGCCACAATCACCCTGTCCCGACTCTCAAGGTTCCCAAAAGAGGTAGCCCAGTTCCCAAAAGTTTGCGCCGTACAATCAGGACGCCGTGCAAATGAACGATGTGCTTTCTCGGCAGAGAAGGCTGCGCTGTGATGCCACGTTGGGTGCTGTTTTGTCACGACTCCCTTCAGCAGCACATCTGTCATGCTATTTAGCGGCACGTTGCTTGGAAAGATGGCCTGTTCTTCCTACAGCTCAGACACACACACACACACACACACACACACACACACACACACACGGATTCCAGATGTTAGGAATGGAGGAGAGAAGGGTGGCAAAAGTGTTTGCAGAGTTGCTGTGGGTGCCCTCGGGAGACAGAAATGCCGTAAAAATTTCAAGAGAGCGAGCAGAGCAGGGTTTTTCTAAGGCAATTCAGACGGGAGGTTTTTAATGGACTGTGAGAACAACCTTGGCAGACAGGAGGAAGAGCTGCAGCCAAGGTAATGGCCAGAGAAGAGGCAGAGGAGCCCTCAGAAGGAAAAGGGGCGTGGGAAGCATCTCAGAAAAGACTCTTTGTTAGAGTCCCTGCAAAGTAACGAAAGAGAGAAATCCTTCCAAGACTTGCAAGATTCGGTTATTATAACCTTACGGTGAAGGTAAAGTTAGTATTTTACGGTTTTGTTTCCTCGTCTCGACTACTTGGAAGAGTTTGATAACAGCTTATTTTTTTTTTCTTCCTTTCCCCCAAATATCTCAAGAACGTTGAAGTCAATTTTGGGGTGCCTGTTTAAAGCGTGTGGGTCTTTTACTCAATGGGGCAGACTTCTCCCGGAGCAAAAGATGTTGGAATGGAGGGGAGAGGAGGAGAAACCAGGTTTTGGATGGTGATTGGGTGCATTTCGGGCTCAGGGCTGGCTTTTGCTTCGTGCTTGACCAGGTGTTGAAAAGGGATCAAGCATCGGGAATTGTGCTCTTTGCTTTCCTTCCCCAACCAAATAACCTCTTCCAGAGAAAGGACTCCAATTAAGGATTCCTACACAGTTTTCGCACTTCAGAGAAGCTGTGAAATTTAATGAGGCCGCCGTATTGATATTCTTTGGAGGGGTCCTTGGTGCTCTCTGATCTTAGTTGTTTTTTTGGCAGATGTTTCATTACCCAACTAGGGAACATCATCAGTGCTATCAGGAGTTCGGAGAGCACCAAGGACCCTTCATTTAAGATGCATTAATTCTGGGTTAAATTCAGTCGGTTAAATTCAGCCGGTTCGGTTGACCTGCGGGTGGGCGTTATGCCATCCTATTTAACCACATTTTCTAAACCCGTACGCAATCCGCCCGTGTGAGCAAAGCGAACTTTTCCACCAATCTCTCTCTCTCTTTCTCTCTCCCCACTTCGATTGCAGGAAATGTCCGCCTTCGTTGTCGTTTAAGCGGCCTCCAGTGAAGGTCTCCTGGCTCGCCTTCCCGACCGGATCAGAAGGCTGCCGGATTTCAAAATGCTCATAAAAGAGTATCGGATTCCTCTCCCCATGAGCGTTGAGGAATATCGGATTGCCCAGCTGTACATGATCCAGGTTGGTGCCTTCGTCGCTTGGGATCGGTTGCTTTCCTAGAAACAGAATAATAATAATAATAATAATTGTCAGACGGAAAGAATCAGGGGCACACGTGACGTTCCAGTGAACCTGATTTATTGCTCATGCAAAAAAAAAAAAATTGCAGTCTGTCATCTATCTATCTATCTATCTATCTATCTATCTATCTATCATCTCTTTATCTCTATAGATCTATCCATCATCTATATTTATTTCTGTCTTTGTCTGTCTGTCTGTCTATCATCTATCTGTCATCTCTATCTCTTTATTTCTATATCAATCTATTCATCTATATTTCTATATCTGTCTGTCTGTCTATCTATTTATCTATCATCTCTATATCTCTTTACCTCTAAATCAATCTATTAATCATCTACTGTATATTTCTATATCTATATTATCTATCATCTATCTATCCTATCTATCTATCTATCTATCTATCTATCTATCTATCTATCTATCTATCTATCATCTCTATATCTCTTTATCTCTATCAATCTATCCATCATCTATATGTATTTCTATGTCTGTCTGTCTATCTGTCTATTTATCTATCTGTCACCTCTATATCTCTCTATTTCTATATCAAACTATTCATCATCTATATTTATTTCTATATCTATCTATCTATCTATCTATCTATCTATCTATCTATCTATCTATTATCTCTTTATCTCTATAGATCTATCCATCATCTATATTTATTTCTATATCTATCTATCTATCTATCTATCTATCTATCTATCTATCTATCTATTATCTCTTTATCTCTATAGATCTATCCATCATCTATATTTATTTCTATATCTATCTATCTATCTATCTATCTATCTATCTATCTATCTATCTATCTATCTCTATCAATCTATCCATCTATATTTATTTCTGTCTGTCTGTCTATCATCTATCTGTCATCTCTATATCTCTTTATCTCTATATCAAACTATTCATCATCTATATTTATTTCTATATCTATCTATTTATCTCTATATCTATCTATATCTATATCTATCTATCTATCTATTTCTCTCTCTAATGCAATAAAAAATTGCATGAGAGACTTGCGGAAGAAGCTAGCCAACGAATCTAGTCTTAATCTGATTTATTAAGCGCCAGTTAATCTGATTTATCACTCATGCAATAAAAGAATTTCAGAAGAATCCAGTCAACTCCCGATCAGCACTAAATTGATGCTAGATAATAGTTAACGGAATTCAAGAGGGGCTGGACTTTGACTCCCTGTGGGAATGTAACGGTTCCAGGCTAATTCCTTGCTTGACTCCGCCCCCATCCTTCTCCTACAAAAATAATAGTAGATTCTGGGAAAGATAAGAGATGGAAGGGACCCTTAAGACCATCTAGTTCAACCCACCTGTACTGTTCAGGGAAAGCAAGGGGACCATCCTGGAGAGGTGGCCAGCCGGCTTCTTTTCAAAAGACACCAGAGTTGGGATTTGAACCCATCTCCAGAAATGGGATTTGAACCCGCTGCACATGATGGCTTTTGAGTTCTGCAGAAGCTCTCTGGACGTTGGCAGGAATAATCTACTAAATCAATGGAGAAACGGCCTTAAGACCCAACTCCGTCAATCTGAAGTGGTGTAGGGTTTCCTGCCTAAGCAGGGGGTTGGACTAGAAGACCTCCAAGGTCCCTTCCAACTCTGTTATTCTATTTCTAACCTGCTTTCCCCCACCTCCCCCAAATCTTAGCTGCGGCTTCTTAGCTGCTTCCTCACTTTCACCCCAAACTGCTTCACTTTTGAAGAAAACGGGCGGTGATTACGTCCTCTTCAAATTTAAATTAGATGTTTAAATTAAAAACAGAAAGGAGGGAGGAGGAGGTGAAAGCCCGCAAACGATGAAAAATTGAACAGCGGGCTCAAAAACCTGTCTTTATAAAGAAGAAGAAGGGGAGAAAAAAAAACCTCACTGCATTTTAAACCTTCCTGCATTTATTCAAGAACTGTTTTGTTTTTTTTTCAATGCTTGTCTTGCCGGAGAGAGATCAGCCTTGGCTCAGTCCGGTTTGTTCGGCTTTTAAAAATTCTACTTGATATATCCCAGCCGCTATTTTTTTAAAAAAACTATTTTGTTCCTCTCGGTTTTGCCCGTGTGTATTTCTTTCTCTGCGGTGTGTCGTGGGTTGATTTCAGCCTTTGCTCAAGGAAATTAAGTTTTGCTGGCTGCAGATAAGTATGGACTGCCGACAAGGGAGTTTCGGGATTTTAATTCTTCTTGCTTGCATCATCCTCTTTGACCCGGCGAGCTTTCCCTGTTCCTTAGGTCTCTAATGCCCACTTGGAAAAAAAGATGGAGCTGGCATTGAATGGCCCCAATTTGTCCGGGGTCAAGCCTTGGAGACAGGCGAGCTCAGGAAACGGAGACTTTAAGAAATGTGCAGCTTTATTTTATTGCTTGTAATAACAGAAACCGTGTAATAACAAAGGAGAATATTTGTAGCTCAGGATTGAAAAGAAAAGTGCTCGGTGCTCTCTGAGCTTGGTAGTTTTCTTGCAGACGTTTCGTGGCCCAAGTAGGTAACATCATCAGTGTTTGTAGGGTGTGAGGTTTGCAGGGAGGGGGAGGAAGAGGAGGATTATTATAATTGGTGCGGTCCTTGGTGCTCTCTGAGATTGCTTGTTTTCTTGCAGACGTTTGGTGACCCAACTAGGTAACATCATCAGTGCTAGAAGGAGAGGGGGTTTGTAGAGAGGAGGAGAAGGAAAGGGAAAGTGGAGGTGGAGATGGAGGAGGAAGAGGAGGAGGAAGATCATCACTGTGGGGTCCTTGGTACTCTCTGAGCTTGTTTGTTTTCTTGAAGACATTTCATGACCCAACTAGGTAACCTTATCAGTGCTTCTAGGGAACCAGGCGGAGGAGAAGGAGGAGACAGAAAGATACTAAAGAGCATCAAGACAGGGAAACCTTCAGTTTCTTTCTCACACTTTCCTGTTTTCTGCAGCTGATCTCATGCATTGCTAACAGTCTATGCCTGTGATGGCGAACCTTTGGCACACGTGCCACAGGTGGCACGCGGAGCCATATTGGTGGGCACGCGAGTGTTGCCATAGCTCAGCTCCAGCACGCATGTGCGCACGGGCCAACTGATTTTTGGGCCTTCTGGGCCCAACGGAAGTCGGCAAATGGGCTGTTTCCGGCCTCCAGAGGGCCTCCGGGAAGGTGGGGAAGGCTATTTTTGCCCTCCCCAGGCTCCTAAAAAGTCCCTGGAGCCTGGGGAGGGCAAAAAAAAAGGCCTACCGGGCCATCACATGCCAAAAGCAGTGGGAACATGGGGGGGGGGTGTTTACGCACACATGCATGGGGGGCAGATTTTATTTTGCCCATCCATCTCTCTATCCAGAGATAGCTGCTTTTCTTGGACTAAGATGGAATGAATTATCTGGTTTGTTCTGTTTCTCCTCCAGAATTCCCTGGGGAGGGGGCTGCCTCTCCCTTCCCCACACCAATCCCTCTCTGTGAGGGTTTTTTTCCCCCTCCCAGTCTTAGCAACCTGCCCTATAGATAATTGGCCGGTCAGGAGGATGCAGCTAACTGTTTCCATCAATTAGTATTAATTTCACATTACAGCCGTGGATTTAATGTGCTCTGGGCTTGACTGCCAACCCTTCCGATCGACAAGCTCAGCGTCTTAGCCACTGAGCCACCGTGTCCCCTCATCTTCCCCTAGATGAGACTAACTCTGGTTAATCCTCCAGGAGGTCCAACTCCTTGGACACGTCTTCTGATGGAAGGGATCGAGGAAGGAACATGCCCAAAATCTGAACTCTTGACGCATTTCACAATATTTGGAAAGCTTATTTATCCCCAGAGAAGACAAAGCAAAAGTCGCTTGAAATGGCACCATCAAGCTCCCTGCAACTTTTGCCAGTCTCTCATTTTTGCAAAAAAAACCCAACAAAATATAAAAACGGGAGAGATTGCTTCTTTTGGGAGCGATGATGATTCGAAAAGCTCATTCCCCTTGCTAGGCTGAACGGGGGTGTTTCCTTCACTTTGATCCAAAGCCATTGATCTTTTTGGTGCGCTCAGCTCAACCATCTGGAGAAGGCGCATTTTTCTCTTCTGCTTTGCAAAGCGGCAGGCAGGGGATATATAATTGAAACAATTCATCTTTATTTTTATTTTATTTATATTTGCAAAGACGTGACGGAGATCTTGGAGAATCTTCTTCCCTGTTTATTTATTTTTTTTAAAGTTCTCTTTTCTTTTTAATGACGACGAAAACGGATTTGATCGTGAGCGTCTTCCAGATGTCCGTAGCCATGATAGAAAGTCCTATTTTTGAATTTTAGTGCTTTATTAATTTCAAGAGGGACCCAAGGATGAACTACACATTACACTCGGGTGTCAGGAGAACCAAGATGCTTTTAAAAATAAAATTTCCCCCTTGGACATCTGTGCTAGTTGTTCCTGACTCTAGGGGGCGGTGCTCATCTCCGTTTCAAAGCCGAAGAGCCAGCGCTGTCCGAAGACGTCTCCGTGGTCACGTGGCTGGCATGACTCAACGCCAAAGGCCGCACGGAACGCTCTTACCTTCCCACCAAATGTGGTCCCTATTTTTCTACTCGCATTTTTTACCTGCTTTCGAACTGCTAGGTTGGCAGAAGCTGGGACAAGTCACGGGAGCTCAACCCCGTTACGCGGCACTCGGGATTCGAACTGCCGACCTTTTGATGGGCAAGCTCAGCGTCTTAGCCACTGAGCCACCGCGTCCCTTAATAATTATAACATTTTTAATAAGAGAAAAACTTCTCGAAGGGCAGATCATCTAGTCAAGAAATGGACAGGGGGTGGGGGGAGAAATTCAATCCTCACTTCTCAGTTGTTTCTTCTGAACAAATTCTTCCATTTATTTACAAAAAAAACAACAAAAAAATCTCTGAAAAATTGTGTCTTTGGAAGATCTTCTTGCAGCAAGATAAGCAAACGTGAGGCATCAGGGAATCTGTTTTTTTTTT